ACCAAACATAATAAATCAATTGTAATTTTTAAAAAAAGAAAAGAATTTATCTTTGTGATGATCATATTGATTATTTGCTTAGCTTTTGAGTAGGTTTGTAATGACTTTTTTTTTTTTTGAGTCACCAAAACAATTAAAACGTGGCAATATATGCTATATATCTAATGATTAGAGTGAGGATTATGTTAAACATTAAGGATAAAATTAATTGGTGATAAGTGGAAAGATTCAATCTAAATATAAAATTATAAAATATTAAAAATTTATTAAATGTGAGATAATTAATTTTAATAAGTTCTAATCACGTATAGATAAAAATAAAAAAAAATTTCACTTGATAATTAAAAAAATATAATAAAAAAAATTTTAATTTTGATATTATGCTAAATATTTAATTTAAAAATAATTAACAATAAATAAAAAAATTCAACATGAATATAAAATTATAAAATATTACAAATTTATTAGATATAAAATAAAATAAACTACACCAATTTGATAGCAGAAATTCTTTGGTGCTGCAAAATTTGTACAATGGCACTGACTGTCCATACATTGCCTGACATCTTATTTCTTTCATTTTTTTAAATTTCTTTTAGCAAAATTTTAGTATTAGACTCATTTAATTTTTTTTTAAATATATTTTTATAAAATCTTATTTTATTTAGTTTTAGCTTGTCGAAACAATATGAAATATATATATATATATATATATATTCTAAAAAGGGCCGCAAACACTAGATTTTTTGCGGAGGCCATTAAGGTAATTAGGGAAATTAACAAAATTCATTGACCAATAAAAATGGTCATATATTCCCAACACAGAAAAGAGACATAGAAATTACAATTGTAACCATATACGTTTATGGAGAAAAAAATTTGGAGGTGACATTTTGAATTCTCCATTAAGCAAAAAAATCTTAAAAAAAAGTAATAGTACTAAATCTTATTAACAAGTTTTCTAAAAAAATTTATTAATAGTTATAAGCATATATATTATAAAAAATTAAAATTTAAAATTTAATTCAATTAATTTATATAATTAATTTTAAAAAATAATATATGATAATTTGAATTCAAATATTAATATTTATAATTTCTTTTCTTATATGTATTGTGACGTCTTTTGCATTAAAAAAGTGAATGTGACACAGTGAAAATTGGAAAACCAAAATCATAACCATCATATACAATTGGTCCATGTTGAAGCAAGCAAAAAATATTTTAAAAAAATGCGATGAAAAAAGGAATTTTAGGTTTTGGAAGTAAATAAGAATCCCAAAATAGAAATGAAGCCAAAGAGGTAATTTCAGGATCAGAATCAGTAACAGAACAACCTTTTTTCCCGCTCTACAAAGTCACCAAATAAATGGCCCTGTCATTCCTTGTCAAAAGGATCATAGACTTTTTTTTTACTAGCCTTTAGGCCTTTTGCTTTCTGATGTTCTCACCTATAATTGTCCTGTTCGTTGTTTCCTTGTTTGTATGTGTCTCAGCTGCAGGTAGCAGCTTAATGGCCTGAAAGTTTAATACCTTTAATTTTTTTTTTAAAAAGTTTAAGTTAAAAATAAAAAAAAAAATTATAAATGTTAAAATTTAAAATTTAAATTTATTGTATGTCACTTTTTAAAAGTGATTATATGAACTAATTGACCTAAGCTTACTTTTTCATTGATATGGTAATGTTGGTTTAACTTTTGTTGATTCATCACCTCTAACCATCTGATTTATCTATACGAACAATACCTTGATTCCTTCTTTTCTCATGAGAAAGGTACTAAAAGGATTTTCCCTAAGCAACTTCCCAAAAATGCAATCAAGAATCAAGCATCTGAATCAAATTGCAGACCTCACGTCAAATAATGGAGGAAAGCCAAGCAAGACGAGCAATACAGAGGGTTTACTCTACGGTTCTACGAAAATAATACGTATAAAAGCTGGGTTCACAGGTAAGTAATACTAATAAGAAGTTAAGAACAAACAAATACAACAGCAGACGACAAGAATCAACGAAGTAACATTTAATCATGGGGCTGTTAGCATACATAGGGACTATAGTATACCAGTTTGACTAGCAGAACAATGAACAAGAGCCGCATGCGTTGCCACAATGGTTTTCTCTGTACAGAATTTACATGTCAAACTAACTTGAATATCTGACTCAAGAATATAGAAGCAATCAGGGCAACCGATGCTGTTTGTTTTACAGGTGAAGTTCTAGCAAGTAGCAACTAACCTTGCAGTCCCAGCTATGTGAACACCAAGCAGAAAATCCAGCTTCAAATGCTCTTAATATTGCAACAGAATCAAATCTAAAGTTTCTGAAGCTCTTTACAGGGCCAGTGTCAGGTGGGTTAGCATCAGATGCAAGCTTACTAGATTGGCTCACCACAATAATTGAGTCACTTCCTATAGAACTGTTCTTTGCTTTCCACACACAGATCCCTTGACAAGAATTAAAAAGGAACTCATCAGAAAACACAGACCAAAGATTTCCATTGTACCTTTATCTTTCATGGGGTCAAAGGTAGCTTAAAATATATATTTCCATATGCAAATTCAAGTAGTTTCAGTTTTTACTTTCTTCAAGTTATACTCTATGCGGACATTATGTCCGAAGATAAATTCAACTGTTTCTTACTCTGTTTAAGACATGCATGAAGACATACATAACCAGCTTTATACTGTCAAATCTCTATCTCTCCGGTGGTTTTCAAAACCTCCCCAGAGATAGACACACACCAGGGGCCATTTCCCAGTTTTTGGGATTTGGTGTCTCTGATCATTTTTCCTTTTGTTGGATAAGTGGGTGTGATCTTTTGCCTTACTGTTTTGCGGTCTTATGGTCAGAATTCAGAAGCTTACAACAGGGTCAATTGTTAAGCAGGAGAACTTACTACTTACACAAAAAGATCCAAAATCCTGAATACCTGATAATTTAGAAGTGTATAGTGGAGATATGATCTGATATTCTGATTTCTAGATTTTTTGTTATCTTTCTAGCGCTTAGGCAGTACGCCAATTGACATCCTTTGTGCTATATGCTGGATTGGCTTAGCATGGTCTATTTAAGTGGAAACTTTTGATGTTCTTGCTCTCAGGAAAAATTTCTTGGTTTAGTTTTGGATTTTAGATTTTATACTTGTTTTAGAGATTTTTAAAAACCATTGCTGACCTTGTTATATATGCTCAGAAATCCAGACCATACTCCTAAGTGGTTGGTAAGTGTGGTACTTTCCATCTTTCAGGTTTTAATTCATTACAAATTCAGGTTTTTATTTATTACAAATGCTTTCTATGGCTGCCCATGGCATTGACATTTTTGTTAGTGATGATTAGGTGTCACCTTTAAGTTCGATTGTGCAAATGAATATTGGCAATAAAATTGCATATTTAGGTCCAGGTTATTCATTTCCCATTAAGAAAAGTCATTACTTACATCCAAAATTTAGGGTCAAAGTGATTGTTCTTTGAAGTTTGAACAGAAGTGAATTTGATCCAGGACATGTTATTTTCAGTTGATTGTATATGGAAGCATGAGCCAGATGCTCAAATACCCTTCTGCTTCTGGAAAGTGAAATTCTGCAACCTCTTAACAGTTTCAATTTCAGCAAACAGCATGATGATCATGCATAACAAAGAACTTATGGCTGAGCAAAATAATCTTATTATGCCACTGTTGTCTTTTATTAGTACTATTATTAGAAGATTCCTAATTCGACTGTAAGCATTATGGCACATGCATTAGTGGGCAATGAGTTGATAGACCAGAATGTGTTCATGGTTAATTGATCTTTAGCCTGCTTTGAAATTTTCCAGATATTCCTGCATCAATTGGGGTTTGATTTCAATTGAGATTTGATTACAAAAGAGGGGTGGCATTAAGGAGAAAGGATGCTCGAAACTGTGAGACAGCAATAAAACTAGAATAAAGCAGTTTATGTACAGTTCCTATAGTACGAATAGTACTCCAAGGCACTGTAGTAGTGTAGAGAAAAAGAAAAGGAACAGTTAAACTTAACAACTCAGATTTTTATTAAAAGATATAAATAGGCAAATACTAACTAGTCATTCCTGGGATAGGATTCCTAAACTCATGAGACTTAAGAATAAGGGCCAATACTAAAGGCTATATACAAGCCTAATAGGTTGACTAGATAGAAAACCCAATGAACCAGAACTGAAGCCCATTATGTTACTGAAGTACCACTGTCCTTGGACTTGGAAACTTGATTGAACTCATAAACTATTAGTCTAATACTTACCTGCTAACCACAAACAAGTTACGTTGGACCAAAACTTTTTTAATTAAGAAACCATGATCTAAGAAAGCTACTGTCGTGCCATTACCCATGCAGTGAAGATTTTGGGCTTCTTGAGTTCATTTATTTCTATGAAAATATTTTGAGCGGCTAACCATCTTTTCTATTCCCAGAGTAAATTACGTTCAGCCTGCAATTTTCCTATGTTTTCATTGAGGTTCTCCATTATGTGCAACAAAATATATATATATATATATAAATTATTATTTGAAATTCTTGTTTATTCTCATAGAGTTGTGTGGCCGCTTTGTAGGTGCAAAAACATCTATTGTTCTTTAAACTTGTATTCTATTTGTTTTGTCGCTTGGTTTGGTATTTTCCGGTATCGTTCTGGCATTCACTGAGGACACTCCCAGAGCTCTGAATGTAAGTTCCACATTTATAGTTCAACTATTGCATAGGCCATAGTTTCATGCTATGTAGGCTTTTGCTCAAGAATCCTTTTGAAACATGGTTAATATTGTTGTTAACATACAAATTTGAAGTCTGTTCAGCTAGGCATGTAGTGGGGGGGCTTGATGTTTATGTTAGATTCATTGGCAATGTTCAATCTTTTCTGGCATTATGCAGAAGAAGCAAATGAGTGAATAAGGATGATCTCAGTTTTTTAATTTGGTAATAGTTGAGGCAAGTGGTTGACCATTGTGCACGTTAAGCTACATGTAAACACAGTAAGCTATATGAAAATGATAGCTAGCACTACCAGGGACAAATGGAAGTGAAAGAGTTCCAAGAAACCAATATCTACCAGATGCTTGGATTTAACAACTACGTGGGATGTATAATGTAATACAGCTCACTTTAAAAAATTATTTAAATAACTTGAAATACAAAATGATATTAACCTCCAAAACAACCAAAATGTCAAAAGTTTTATTTTTTTTTTTTTACAAAAAATAATATCTAAAAACAAGGAAATAGATAGATGATGTTGGAATTTGAGTTTCAAAACTGTGTAGATAACATCTCTGAGTGATAATTACATGAACTAACTGAATTAAACTTCAAGGTTTAATTCAGTTTTTATTCAGAATGGCTGTTAACATGGATTTAGCACCCTCCAGGATTTGTATAACATCAGCTTCTCCAAAACTTTCAACTTCAGTCATGAACTTCAGGTCCACCTTAAAAGTGCCATTAACTGTAACTGTTATTTGGCTCCCATCAATCTCACTAGACATTGACATAGGCCTGATATAACAGAGAATATAACAAGATTAGAGTAATCCTCAGATTTCGCCTATGCCTAATTCCTTTTTTAGGAAATTTTGAAGGTGCACAACAATTATGTTTACCTAGTTATATGTATAAATTAACAATTCAGACTTCACTTATATATTACAGCAACATTTGTTAACAAAAATTATCTTAGCTTGGATGCATATCCATTGAATAACAGATCATTAACATAAAAATAATGGAAAATAGTAATCACCTATATTGAACAGCGAGGCCCATGCGAGCAATGCCTTGAGAAATAGCCTGGAAAGTCAAATTGTCAGAAATATCAATAATCAAATAAATTTATTTGACAATTGCTCTATACTCTATAGCACTCATGATATTAAAGTGAGCATTTTTTGGCCAATAAGAAAATGGTGCTTCACTGGGATGTCATCATAGCACCGTTTAGGCTCAGGACCGGTGGTCAGCCATTTAAGTCCTGATTTAACCCAACCTATAGGAAGGGACCTGCCATTTGAGCATCAGTGGACCCTTCGGACACCACATCATCCAACAAATATACAGAAAAGTACCAAATCTCGTATGAAAAATGTACCAAGGAAGCAAACTATAACTGATACTAACAAAAAAAATGCATATCATAGACATATATATGACAGATGATGATAAAGTAGGTAGAAACAAGCTGTTCTTTCATAGCAAACATTCATTATTCATGTCATTGACATTGCACAGAATTACTCATGCGTGTGAGGAGAGATATTACCTTTAGCTGCAACATTTCTGCAGATTCAGCACCAGAAGCATTAATTGAAATGCTTAACCGTCCAGATTTTGTCTTATTCAATGACCATTCAGCAAAACCAGCGGCTATGGCCTCAGTACCTGGTGCAGTGCTATTTAAAGGTGTTCCTAACTCAACGGCCACAGCCTCAATCCGAATTCCACTTCATCAGCATGGACAAGGAATGAAAGAAAATTCAGAATCAGAAATTACCAAATCAAAACAAAATCAATGGAAAATGGATTTCACACCTACCTGGGGTTTTCAAAACTGAGAGTAAAATGGCGACAGTAGTTTCCGGTGTTGCAGCCGCTGGTCGGATCATTAGCAGGTGGAGGGTGAGTTGACGTCAACGGAGGACCATTATTATTCTTCGAAATGATGCCATACTCTAATGTTGGTGGTTTATCAGCTGCTTTCACTTGTTGCAGCAGCAGCAAAATCAGAACAAAACCCATTGTTTCAACAACTTTCTTCATGTTTTTGGGAAACACAAGTCCAAACTGCATAAAAAGAGTGGAGAATTTTGAAATACAATTTTTGTGCGACGTTGACAGACAAAGCAGGCGGGATAACTACAATTTTTTGAAAGAGTTAATTACAGACAAAAGGTACTTGAAGTATGTGAAATTATCAAATTTGGAACTGAACTACAAACATGTACAATTTAGGTACCTCAACTTTAAAATGTACAATTGCCAGATCTGGTCTTGAGTAGGGGTGAGCAATTCAGTTTGGTTAATTTAATTATAAAAATCTCAAAACCAATTTAATCCAATAAGTTTATTAAAAAACCAAATCAACCGATTAAAGGAATAAAATCGAAATAAACTTATAAATATATCGTGTTTTCGGTTTTTAAAATGAAATTAAAAAAAAAATGAAACAAGATTATGAGTGTCACTTCTGTAAGTAAATGAAGTCCCAACACAATAAAAGAAGTTCACTGAAATGCCAGCATTTTAGAGTTGGCTATGGCGGAATATAGAAAACTAAGACAATTGCTAGAGATCCACCCACATAAAGAAAGTTATAAACTAAGTGCTATGTCAAGGCTTAAAACATTAAACATTCGTTAAATGAAAGAAAAGGAAACGTTAAGAGAAGATTAATTTAATATACCATATTATTAAAAATAAAGGCCATTCACAACTCAAAAAGAACGAAGTTTCAACGGTTCATTCAAAGATGATGGTAGTAAAACACAATTCAGAAGAGAGAAGAATGAAGGAAAAATGCAGATTTCTATTTTTTTTTTGTTTACATTTTGCTTTTAGCAGCATTGAAAAAATGCAATCATACACCCAATCAGAACACAAGAATCAAACAATCACACCAGGAATCATAAATCCAGAAACAATAACATTAAAAACTAGACATTACTGTCCAACCAGACATACCAGGCTGAGAGTCGAGCAAGGGATAAGAGGCGTGAGGGCTGACACTTGAGAGGGGGCTGAGAGGCGTGAAGGTAGAGGGGAATGTGAGGCGTGAAAGCTGAGAGGACAGAAACATGATGGTTGAGAGAGGGCTGAGAGGGCTGAGAGGCCGGAGCCATGAGAATCGTTGGGTGAGAGTCAGAGAGGGACAGAGGCCTGAGAGGCGCGCGTGAGAGAGAGAACGAAAACGAAGGGAAGGTAATCTAGGGTTTCATATCATTAATGGGTGTGTTAATTTTTTATTTTTTGTCAGTTCGACGACCAATTACATAGCCTAAACTAATCCCTTAATCGACAAAATCGGTAAATTCGAAAAAATCAAATTCGATTTAATTAAATTTTTGGTTAAAACCATTTAGTTGCCATATTTTTTTACGTTTTGTGGATGTTTTCATTTGCTTAAATTTGGAAAATTATGAGATGGTTTTTGATGTTTCGATTGTTGCTAGATATTTGGGAAAAGGAATTTTAATGAGATAAAATTGATTCGTGGAGAAAAAAAATGGAAGATATTGCATTGTATGTTGTTTCTTTAGTCGAAAATGCAAAAAAAAAAAAAAAAAAAGTGTTTGGATAGTTTGAAGTTTTTTTTTTTTTTAGGTATTTTAAAGATGGACTTTATTTGGGAAAAAAATTTTAAAACAAAATTTGAGATGAATTTTTGTTGTTTTGATTTTTGTTAGAGATATGGGAATAGGAATTTCAGTTGTTCGTTTAGTGAGAAAATTAGAGAAAGCACGAGAAAATATGAGTTTGGTTAGTGTGAATGTTGGTTTTTTTAAGTATTTTAAAAGATGGACATTTTTTTAAAAAATTAAAAAGCTAGTTGAGATTTCAATGAGATGGGATTGATTTGCTTGAGAAAAATAGAGAATTAGGTTCTTTGATTAGTGAGAAAATGAAGGAAAGTGTAAGAAAATTTGGATTTGATCAGTGTGAAGATTGTTTTCATTTTTTAAGCATTTTAAAAGATGGAATATTTTTTAGAAAAAAAAATGATTAGTGAGAAAATGAAGGAAAGTGAAAAAAAAATCCGGAATTGGTTTATGTAAGATTGTTTTTATTTTTTTTAAATATTTTAAAAGGTTAAAAATTTTGCATTCTAAGTTGTTTGGTTAGTGAGAAAATAGCAAAAAATGCAAGAAAATTTGGATTTGGTTAGTGTGAGATTATTTTTATTTTTTAAAAGTATTTTAATGATGGATTTTTTCTATAAAAAAAAAAAAAGCAAGTTAGATATGGGTTTTTGTTGCTTTGATTCTTGTTAGAGATTTGGAAAAGGAATTTTAATGAGATGAGATTGATTTACGAGAAAAAGAGGTAGGATTTTGCATTATAGGTTGTTTGGTTAGTGAAAAAATTGGAGAGAAAGTGTAAGAAAATTTAGGTTTGGTTAGTGGGAAGGTTTCTTTTATTTTTTAAAGTATTTTAAAGATGAATTTTCTCGGAAAAAAAAAAAGAAAAAGCAAGAAAGAAATTGAATACATACCTATAAGAAGATTGAACAATCTTTGATGGAGCCCAAAGTGGTACATTCCAAATAAAGTTTTTGCACTTGCACTTTATATAGAGGGTTTAAGGGAAAGGAAAGATAGGAATATTCTAAACCCGTGTTTTCTACCCCATGGAGCAAAGGAAAAGAAAGACAGCTATCACATCTTTGAAAATGCAAGGTGACATTTCCAAAAACAAATCCTCACATATAACAGACAACCAGGTGCTCAAATGAATTGATTAAAATATTTAAAAAATAAGTTTTTTACCCGTGCACGGTTCATATATGAAAGAAATAGGTGTTTCCACCCAATCAATTTCATTTCGTTTAATTATTATTTCATGGCCGCGTATGTTTCGGCTGAGTAATGGAAAACCTTTCTCATATGAATTCAATTTTTATTTTAGTAGGAAAAAGTCTTTTTTTTTTTTAAAACAATGTCTTTGTCATTTGATTTTAATAATCCTTCGTTTGATAAGAACAGATTTGATAAATATTGATAATTCACAGACGGAGTATTAAAACGTAAAATTTCATTAAATAATGAACTATTAGTTTTGAGTCATCTTCGATGATGAATTAATAATTCGAAGTGTTTTTTTTTTTTTTGTAGATTTTTGATAAACCAGCACTTATATATAGACGTAGGAGAATCTATTTGGAAAGTAAGAAGCCCCTTCGACATTTTTCCACGTGCAAAGGATTCTCAATGTGAAAGCACAGAGACAAAGGGTTGATTTTTGAATAGGAAAAAAATGGATTCGGTATTTTTATATTTATAATAATATTTAATTTAATTCATTAAAAATCTAGAGATAATTTTTTAGATTCAAAATTTTGTTTTTATCATTAAATATTTATATTTTTATTTATTTATTAAATTTATATATTTAATACCAAAATCTTGATTTGATTTTTAATTTCATAAATTGAAAGCACAAAAATTTTAAAATAAAAAATATAATTTATCAACAAAATTTTCAAATAACTTTTTGACCTCTATTTTATTTTAGAAAAGTATATTAGTAAATATTTAAGACATTGAAATTTTTAATTAAATTCATTTCATAAATTTAATTGCTTAATTGATATAACAAAGAAATTTGTTATAAAAAAATGTTTACATAAAATCCAAATGTAGTAAGTATTTATAAATATGAGGAAAAATAAGACAAATAGAAAATTAAATATAACTGAAATTTAATAATGAAGATGATGAAAAAATAAAAAAAATTGAAATTAAAAACAAAAATGTGATTTAGGAAGTCAAATTGAGAAAAGTTTGTCAAATTCTAAACCATTCATTAATTCCCTAAATGTTTATCTTATCTATGCATACGCCTATGATAAGAAAGTTCCATTCATTACAAAAAATAAAAATAAATAATAAAAACTCCAATTTAAAATTTAGTTTAGAGTAGAATAATAAAACTTATATATGTTAATAAAAAATTACATGAAAATAAAGAAATGAAATTTTTTAAAAAAATAAATCACATAGTTTAAGAAAATGAAAAAAATGTTGTTTTTTTCTGAAAATATCCATTATTTATTTTTATTGATCCTATAAATTATTGTAAAAAGAAAAAGAAAATATAAATAGGAAAATTTAGGAGTGGAAATAGAGTTTTAAAAAAGAAATATGAATAAAAAAATATTTTAAAATGAAGAATTTGAAAAAACTCTATAATAGAAAGAGTAAAGAATTGAGGTTTCGATGAAATACAATAATAAAAATTTATTATGTTTTCAATTCTTTATCAAATTCTTTAAAATGTAAATAATTGAGTATGTTTTTATCCATTTATTTAAATGGTTGTTTTATGCTCTTATTTAACTGAAGATTTAAAAAATGAATTAGGATCGATATTTTTAAGTATTTAAACCAAAATTTTTAAATAATAATTCATGCATACTCTTATTAATTTAAATAAATTTAAATATTTTAAATGGATTTGAATAATACTAAATAAAGTAAATAATTATATATCCTTTTATCCATTTTCAAATTAATATTTGAATACTATTATTATTTAATGATTTAATTTAAAAGTATTTTAATATTTGATTATAATATATAATATAATTATTTATTATTATTCTATGTTTCATCCAAAAAAAACCTATCCACGTAAGTGTTTATGTAAGCAAATTTTATCAGGGTTTTATGTATGTTGTAATATAATATTATATATAATATGATATGTTATGATATATGATAAATTGATATGGCTTTTTGCTGTTTTGATTTTTTCTAGAAATATAGGATTTATCTTGATGCAAAAAATATATATAAAAAATTATTTAAATAAAATTATCTACTTCAGAGATTTTTTATCGTTTTATTCTTTGGAATTTCATTATATATTGTATGGTTTATAAATTTAATATAAATTTCATCTGACAATGATAATTTGATTTTTAAGATTAAAAAAAATAGATGTATGAATTATTTAAAAATAATAATTATTTTTTCAAAAAATATTTAAAACAATTTTTAGCACAAATAAATAAATAGATGTATGCATTATTGACTTATGGATTATTTAAAACAAATTCAAAAAATCATAAACAAAAGCAATTATTTTTTTGTATGAAAACAGAATATTATAAAAAAAAAAAACTAAAGCTGTAATTTACTCTGCTTCCATAACTAATTAATAGGGCTAACAATTTTAAATAAAACATAGTTATACAATATTAAAATATTATAGAAATAAATTAAAACGATACGTTTTAAAATTTAAATAAAAATTATACATAAATTAAAATATATATAATTTATATTTAATATGTTGACTCGAATCATATTTTACACTTGTTATACATTAAATAAATAAATACAAATATACAAATAATTAGCTTTTAAATGTTTGTTCTCGTTTGAATATTTTCTTCTAGGATAGGCTAAACTAATCTTTGGTCAAAAATTAAAACTTGCCAGGTTGTATGGATGAGGATTGCCTGAGAAATAAAGTAAAGGAAATGGTTAATTAATTGTCAGACAAGCAAAATTTGTGAAACCATTGATTCAATCAGCTAGACTTGATAATTTGTGTTATAATATCATATAAAATATTATATTTATATCATATTTTATACAAAAATCACATATCATAATTTGTGTGGATATGAAAACATAAAATATAATTTTTTATTTTATTAAACTTATTTATGATTTTTTAAAATTTTAAAATATTTTATTTTTATATTTTTTATTCGTATTATTTTCATATTATATATTTTAAATTATTAGATCTAAATCCATCATTAAAAAGTTGGTACCTAATCTTTAACAAAAAAGGAAAAGTATTGGTAGCTTAATCTTGACTTAATTATGAAGACCAAAGCTTAAATTTAATTATTCTCTTTGTTTCCTTTTTTTCTTAATTTTTTTAGATTTTTCAAATTTTTTTTTATTTTTTTAATATCTAAAATTTTTACCTTTTTATATTTTAAAGTTATTTTACTTTTTAATATTAAAAATTATGAAATTTTAATTTTATAAAAATTTGATTTTAATAGTAAATAATTGAAATAAAAATTTTTTAAAATCTTCTGCAAATCAATACAAGAGAAGTAAGAAGAAACGAATAAAGTATTTATAAGCTTTCAAGTATTATAAAATGTAACGTCTCTTTCTACTTTCTACAATCAAAATATTTTAAAAATCTGTTTGGATTCAAACCCATCTTGGCATGGAATGTGATTTGATCACTTTTTCCTAAATTTACAAAAACAAATTAACAATACCTTTTGAAAACCATTGATTACCTGATCTTTAACAAAAAAGGAAAGGCTGGTAGCTTAATCCGTGACCAAATCACGAAGACCAAAGCTTAAATTTATTTATTTATAAGCCTTTTAATGTTATAAAATGCAATGTCTCTTTCTACTCTCTACATTAAAAATATTTTAAAACTATGTTTGGATTCAAGCATGTGTTGGAGTGTGATTTGATCACTTCATGTTAAATTTTCAAGAATAAATTAACAATACCTATTGAAAACTATTATTGAAAAATTACTAATAAATTAAGTGTGGGACACAATCAATTTATTCTGATATAAAATATTTTTGTTTTAAAATTTTTTAATAATTAATTTTAATAGATCCAAAATATAAAAAATAATTTTATTTTATGCATAAATTTATTGAAATTAATCATTAAAAAAATATATAATGTAAATTTTTTTTATATAAGTTGATTCTTTATCATTAAATGTAATATATATATATATATATTAAATATCATTTCCCTGTGCTATAGAAAAAGAATTAGAGGCTGTGGAGTTGGAGAAGCATTTGCATGTGATTAATTCCACGGTCCAAGTGTTCGTTCATTATAAAAGTCAATAATATTAAAAAAATACTGGAAATTAAATACCTTCTAATATAATTAAGTTTCTAGAATAAGAAACGGCATTTTTACTCCACCCAAATCTAGCTTCTTCTTTTTTTTAAAAAAATTATAGTGAGTGTTTGAATGTTGACTAAGGATGGTCTTAGATATTTGGTTACAACGGCGAAGTAAATAAAAAATTAAAAAAGATATGTTTAAAAAAATGGTTTGAGATTGTCCTAATCTTGCATTTGCATCTGCCATTGGTTCATTCTTATATGTGCAAAAATAAATTTATGAGATTAAACTACAATTACAAGCAAATATTTTTTTGTTTAATTTAAATTATTCATTCACGAATTAATTTTCAAAAAGTCAAAAATTTGATCCCTAACATGTGTAAATATTTTTCCTTTAATTTCTATTAGGCTTTAGTTCCTATGTAAAAAAATATATTTCTTTATTAACATATATATATATATATACAAAAATTTTAGACAAATAATAATATTTTAAAAAAATGAGCTTGTTATTTTACTTATGTTGAATAACAAGAAATTGATTTTTTAAAGATGTTCAATCTGGAAGAATCAAAGATTCCTAAGAGTTTTATTAAACAGTTTAGACCATACCACCCACAAAACCATTTCCGGTTTTCTTCGTAGAAAAGGACCACTCCCAAAGGAAA